TCTTAAATGACTAAAAACCTTATAAGAGTTTTTTTTTTATTAGCATTTGTATATGTTCTCAATTCTCACTATTTTCAAAATAAATATCAATGATTAGACTGCTAAAATTTCTCAAAAAATCACGAAAATATATCAAGACTTTTCTTATTTTTGTTAATTATTAATCTTAATCAGTAATTAAGACTTTCCTACGCTTGTTATAATAAAAAAAAAATATGTAAAGTGTTTTGAAATACATTAATAGAGAGAAATAAAGGATAAGATTTATTAAAAGGTAATAAAAAATTTTTTTTTTAATATTTGAAACTCGAAAAAAAATAGTAGTTATTAAAGGCCCACGGCCAGACCGGCCTAAAACGTAAAATTAGAAGGTTTGCTTTAAAAGTTTTGAAGAAAATCTAAATATGCACTCACTTTAAAAAATGCAATTTAAAGTTTAAAAATCGAAAATTACGTATTAAGACACTTCAAATAATTTTTTTGAATTTTTTTTCGGAAAGTACATTGAAAAACGAAACTTTTATGTAGAATGGTAATTTTCATTGGATGAGTTTTAAAAAAGGTACGGGCTAAAAACCACAGAAAGAGCTGCTTATGAAAATTCGATATCTTTGGAACGGATGATCAAAAAAATGCCACAATTTAGGAGGAAGGGTTTTTCAGTGGGTACTRAAAGATACCAAAAAATGGCGCAAATCAAAAATAAAAATTTTTAAAACCGTCCGATTTGGCGTGGAATGCCCCATATGTACAGAATAATATTTATTACAAAACAATAAAAGCATTTCGCAAGTGAGAATAGAGAGTAAACAGTGATTCAGCCCTACGTGAGAATCTGAATGTACCCTGCAATAAACATATCGATGCCGAAGAACACATACTTCTGATTCCGAAAAAAAATTAATTTGCCTCGATATTTTAGTATTTTTTCAAAATCATTGATATTTATTTTGAAAATAGTGAGAATTGAGAACATATACAAATGCTAATAAAAAAAAAACTCTTATAAGGTTTTTAGTCATTTAAGACATTTCATTTTCAACTTATTTAAACTCTATTATGTATCTTTACATATAAAAATAGAAAAAAAAAATTTACCTCCCAAGATTCGAACCCTAAAAAGACTCGGCCACTATTGGAAAGAAACGCCGAATCGTTGTCATTAACCTAAACCTATTACATACCATTGCTTACTTCAGAAGTAAATTTAAACACTAGATAGCATCATAAGCATTTTTAATTGCAAATATCTCAAAAATTATTGAGTAGTGGCTCCTATAACCATATATATTCGTAAAAAGGTAAGCAAAATCTATCATCYTGCAAAATTTGAACAAAATCCGAGAGAGCAAGACCTTGCGCTGTCTTTGTCAGTGGTGAAACTTAATAAAAAGTATCAGGTAAGAGAGTAATCATATTTTTTTAAATATATCTCGAAAAGTAAGGGAGATAAAATATTTTAGTACTGGACCTTTTTTGTAGCAAATAAAATTGTCTACAAAACATWATTAATACAAAATCGCTTTATCTCGCTTACTTTTTGAGATATTTTCAAAAATGTAAGAAAAGGTGGGAATAGTATTTTTATTTTTTAAATATATCTCGAAAAGTAAGGAAGATAAAATATTTTAGTACTGGACCTTTTTTGTAGCAAATAAAATTGTCTACCAAACATAATAAATACAAAATCGCTTTATAACGCTTACTTTTTGAGATATTTTCAAAAATCTATCATGCTGTCACAGATGCGCGCGAGACTCTCGAGCTATAGAGAATACAGAAGAAAAAGAGAATATATTTAAGAAAAAGTATTTTAACGCGTTATACTGTTTACATTTGGACGAAACTAACATAGGTTGACTATCTCTCTTGCACGCATGCAAGCTTAGAGTTTGCGCATGCGTGCCATGGCGACCTACGTCACAATGAGTAAGAGCAGGATAGCTTCATTTTCTGTTTCTTTCTACAAAGGCGTAGGACTAAGGGAGTAATTACCTGTCTTTAAATTGGGATATTTCCTACAGGTAAATATTTATAAATATAAATTCATCACCAAAATTTAAAAAATAAATTTAAAATTCATATGAAAAAGAAAATTTTTTTAAATAACCCGTTTTAAGCGAAATATCGAGCAAAAACCGTTTTCACCCCTTGATTTTTAATAGAAGGGATAAAAAAAATTTTTTGTTTCCCTACGATTGTTCTTTGTAGTTTTTTAAAGATAATTAAAAAAAAAAAATTTAAGAAGTCCAATTTTTATATTTTTTATTGAATTATCATTTTTTCAGTACTTTGAACCGTCGTAGGGGTGAAAGGGTGCATCTTAGGGGAAAAATGGTCTGATGTAGATAGGCCTAAAATTTTATGCTCTACAACTTTTATTTAAAACTTTTTTTGATATTTTTTACATATAATCCAAAAATCGTATTTTGGGGTAGTTTTTAATTTTTTTCACCCCTTTCCCGGTGGTTCAGAACTTTTTTACTTTGCTCACAGTATTGTACGCATTTTTCTGATAATTTCCATATTTTTTCAGCCGTATAGCTCAAAAACCCGATTTCAGGGCTATTTTGACTGGACTATGACTACTTCCCAATTTGGTTGTAGTAATTTTTCATATTCTTTGAGAGCAACTTCTTCAGTTTTCTTTCCATAACTCATGGCAGAGGTTTTAACTTTA